GAGTTAAGGATGGTTTGTAGCCACCATGTGGGTGCTGGGAATTGAACCTGGGTCCTCTGCAAGAGCAGTCAGTGCTCTTAACTGCTGAGCCATCTCTCCAGCCCCATAAAAATAATAAAATATTTAAAAAAATGTCAGTATGTGTGTTATATGGATGAGAGAGAGTGTGTGTGTGTGTGAGAGAGAGAGAAAGAGAGAAGAGAGAGAACATGGATTCAGGATAAGATTGATTGCTTACAAGGTGACTCATGCCATTCCCTGTGTGCTCACATATCTCTCAGGATGCAGTAGGAGTCACATGTAACCTGTTTGTAACCAGCTTATTCAGAATAGCTGGTATAGCAGTCCCTCCTCCCCTCCAGAGTTAGATAAACAGGAGACTTTTGCTTTGAAATGTAAGCAGATCTTTTGTGGAAGAAGGTCTCTAGGCACTGTTTTTGATACAGGATCTATGTTGCCTAGGCTGGCCTGGAATTTGTAATCCTCCTGTCTCAGCTTTCTGAGTGCTGGGATTACAGGCATGGCTGCTGTACCATGTAGGTCTTCACAACCTGAAGCTTCAGGAAACAGCTTCCTGTTTGTCCTGTAGGAGATAGGATGAGCTTCTTTGCGTGTGTTACCCTTAGAATGTGAGCAAATGGCTCTGGAAAGTGTGTTGAGTGCCCTGTGGGTGAGGTGTGTTTTGCCTTCCAAGGCCTATTTGACTTTTAGATCCTTTAATGCAGGTTGCTAGTGACATCTGCTCAGAAAGCCTGACTACACAAAAACAAAAGGATAATCACAGAGCAACCTTTGACCAATTCCTTCAAGAAACTTCTCACGTCTCTACCAGTAGGCATCTGCCCACCCCCTTAAGGATAGTATGTCTGAAGGGGAAGGAGAGAGAGGAGAGGAGAGGAGAGAAGAAACAGTGCTGACTCATTATATAAACACACCATAATTTATTTGGCCTTTTCCTAGAAGTGGGTCATGTGATTAAATGATAAGAAATTAAAAAAAAATCTTTCCAATCTTTATATATACGCATAGACAGAAGACTTCATTTCTGGCTTAATGCCTTTCTGATATTACCTTGTGAAGTCAGTTATTTCACAATACCCTTAAATGTACTGAGTTTATCGTAATTACTTTTATTCTTTGTCAACTTGATGGTCTATAAAAGCTATCTCATTTTGATTTTTTTTGTGTGTGATATTAATAGCCTTCTGTTCTCATAGGTTAATTAACTTCTGTGTCTTCCTTTAGTATTTTATGGGATGTTAATTTTTTCTTAACTATTTGTAGATCTTCACACTTACATATTAAGAAAGTTGTCATTTCTGCATATGTCATAACATGACAGACCAATGAAGCTTTATTCATGCAGTAATTTACATTAAAAAAGCTTATACTAAGCTGGCATGATGGCTCAACAGGTAAAGGCACTTACTGCCAAGCCTGATAGCCTGAGCTCAATAATCCCCTGGGTCCTACATGGTGGAAAGGGGAGGACTGACTTCCTCAAGTTGTCTTGTGATGTTCACATGTGCACTGTGGCATGTGTACACACACACACACACACATATATATATAACACAAATAAATGCCAATAAAAATTTAAAAATGCTTATACTGATGGACTGTTAAAGTGCAATCAGTACAATGGACCTAATCAAAGTACTTGCCCCTTGAAACACTCTGTCGCTCTCTGCTACTACTTCCTCCCAACTTCCGTTCCTGGCCAAGGGAAAAAGGCTACTTGAGGTCATGATCTGTCAGACCCTGGAAGGAGATGGGACATCTTCAATCTCAAGCTGAAAGTCTTAGATTTCTTTACTCTGTCTGCTCCAGCAGCAGATTGCTGGGAAGTGGCTTTGGGCAAAAGTACACAGGAGAAGGGGAAACACTACAGACCAGTGAGACATGGAGAACTTTCTAGTTCCAAGCGTGAATCTGGTCAGTCATGATCAGGGCATAATATTTTCCCTGTGCTTTTGTCAGCTTCTCTGCCATCAGAAGTCCATTTTTAGGCCAAGTGGACCCTGAACAGAACTGACCAAGTTTTGGTAGCTGGGTATCAGATATCAGATATAACTCCCAATAAAGATTTTTTTTAACTAAACAACTTTTTTTGCTTTTTGACAGAACTTCACAGAGAATGAACTGTAAAATGGTTATGAGGAGGCCAGGTGTGGTGGCACCCACCTTTAATCCCAGCACTCGGGAGGCAGGGGGTAGGTGGATCTCTGTGAGTTCAAGGCCAGCCTGGTCTACATAGTGAGTTCCAGGCCAGCTGGTGCTACAGGAGATCCTGTCTCTAAAGACCAAAAAAAAAAAAAAAAAAAAGGGTTTCCTTTTATTGCTGGGCGTGGTAGTGCACGCCTTTAATCCCAGCACTTGGGAAGCAGAGGCAGGCAGATCTTTGTTGAGTTTGAGGCCAGCCTGGTCTACATAGGGCAGCTGGGGCTACAGGGAGACCCTGTCTCAAAAAGACAAAAAAAAACAAAACAAAAAAAAAACCCCAAAAACCAAAATGGTTACGAGGAGAAGAAATAAGACGCCACCTAGCCAGGTACAGTGGCACATGCCTGTACTTGGGGAACTGAGTGGAAGGATTGCTTGTACTCAGAAGTTCAAAACCACTCTGGGCAACAGAGTGAGACTGTATTTTGAGGAAAAGAAAATGATAAGACAAAAAGGAAAGAGCTACATAAATACAGGCACACCTTGGCTTACAACCAGAAGTTTAGCATTGTCTTTGAGAGGCAAGATCTGAGCTGTGAGACATGTGAAAGCAGTTTCATCTACTATGGTAGCAGCCTTCCTGGCCTAGCACAGGCTGACAGTTGGTATACTACAAGCAGCAGTCTTCTGGATTCAGATAATGAAGGCCGATTTACATGCAAACAGGACTCCCCAGCAATGAAACCTACTAGTTTGTTCTTACCTTTACACCCTTCTGTAGAATAGGAATTGGGAAAGAACCATATGATTTTGAACTTAGCCAAAGTCTAAACTCAGGATCTAACGCCACATCTGGACTATTAAATCTGTAAAACAAAAAATTAAATATTTTGATGTGAAAATTTAAGCAATATGTTCTTAGAGTCTTAGCATTTCAGTGTTTATATGACCTTACAAATAACTTTGTGCTTTCATGTTGCACAAGACATTGTATAAGATTTACTAATTTCCATTTTCCCTTCACATGTGCTCATTACAAAAATTTGGGAAAATTTACAAAATGAGCCAAATGAAAGCCAGGTGCAGTGGTGCATGCTTATACTATTAACCAGAGGCAGAGACAAAACAGGAGGATCAGCCTGGTCTAAAATAGCTAGACTTTGACTCAAAAAACCAGGGGGAGAAAAGACACAAATGAGTTCCATTGGTCAAATCTGGGACAACTGAATATCAAAATAAAAGATAATCAATAGGAACAGGCTAAACCATTTAATGATGGAAATACACCCATAATGATATAATATAAATGCACAATAAGAGGGAAGGAAATGTTTGTATTAGTAGAGCACCGTTAAAAGATTTTTTTCTGTGTGTGGTGCTGGGAACTGAACTAGGGCCTTGCATGAGCTTTCCACTGAGCCATATACCTCCAGCCCCCATGACATAAAACTTGGAGGAATTATGGCATTATGAAGCTACCATTTGGCAAATAATGTGGTAATAATTCAGTCACAAATTATCAAGGGATGATGAAACTATTGGGTGACGGTTTAATATATAAACAAGGTCTGAAAGTATCCACAGTGGCAGATACCACTTTAATCACATGATCAAAATCAGGACCACCAGGAATAAGGGCAGAAGGATCCTGTGTGCTCTGATGAGGTGCTCTGCCAAGTGCACCATGTCTGCAACATTCCTGCAGAGCAGCGTACCCTACACTAGACATGAGGGAACAGCAGGCAAGCTGGACTAAATTCTGCTCCTCACATGACCAACAGGCACAATGAGGCATGTAGGGGTCAAGTACCCCATGTGCAGTCAACCTTCAAACAACTCAGGGAAGAAGTGTGTAAATATGAGAACAACAGAAGGGTGAGCAAAATGAGAGAAGTTGAAGAGGGCCTGTGTTGTGCTTGTAACTTTTTGGCAGATCTGAAGTTATTTTTAAAAAGTTTATGAAGTTTGGGGGCTGGAGAGTTGGTTTAGAGGTTAAGAGCACTGACTGCTCTTGCAGAGGACCTGGGTTCAACTCCCAGCACCCACATGGTGGCTAACAACCATCCAAATCTCCAGTTCCAGGGCAATCTGTTGCCCTCTTTTGACCTCAGTGGGCTGTGCATGACATGGGTGCACTTACACACATGCAGGCAATACACTCATACACATAAAACAAAAATATTTAAAAAATTTACAAAGTTTGAACCAGTTATGATACTACGGGTTAAAGGCCCTCTGCCAGGAACAACCTGAGTTTGATACCTAGCTCCCATGGGTGGAAGGAGAGCACTGACTTCTACAAGCTGTTGTTTGACTTTCGGCACATGTGTCCCCCCCAAAACAAATACATGCAATAAAAGATAAATAAAAATTTACAAAATGAAAACAATAAAAGGTGGAACACAATGAAACAGAAAAATGAAAACAACCTTTAATTCCACTAAGTAGGCTTTCTTTTTCCTCCCTTTAGCTCTTCTCTTACTTTTAAATAGAAATATTATTAGGCTATATACAGTATTTCTAGGTTATTTTTCTTTCTAGCAATATATTATGAATTTCTTTCTTTTTTTTTGAGACAGGGTATCACTGTAGCTCCAGCTGGCCTGGAACTTGCTATGTAGATCAGGCTGGCCTTGAACTCACAGAGATCGACCTGCCTCTGCCTCCTAAGTGCTGGGATTAAAGGCCTGTGCCACCACACTGGGCACATGAATATATTTCTTTAAAACCTAAATTTCAGAGATCTTCTGTTTTGAATGGCACATACTTTTCTGCCACTGGATGGCCTGTATGTCTTACAGTATGTTCAACACTGCTACAGTGTTTTTCTGGGCCATGAAAAGGCCCTCAAGCCTGGAATGACACTTGGCAAAGAGCAGATGCCCTTAAGAATTTTTTTCAACCAATAATGGATGATGTAGTGCAAATGATTGCATCTTCTTCCAAAGTCTACATCTATTAATGCCATAAAACCAAGCAATCTTTGCCTTCTGACTCTCTTAAGTGATTACATAAATGTGATTTTTTAAATAGTTTTTAAACTGCTAAAAAATAACAGTCTGACAACAGTACAAATTATGCCGTGGTAGATTTTTACAAATCTAATCAGGCTGTTGCATTTTAATTTAAATCTCCTTTCAAATACTCAAAGCATAAGAATTTAGGGTCTTCATGGAAATGCTTGCTCTATCACACTGGCTGTACAAAGTAGACAGACAGTAAAACAAGGCTGGAGGAGTAAAACCTGGTAGAATCTAATTGGTTAAAACATTTCTAATTTCACACATTACTAATTCTCCCCTCAGAGTCACAGCAATTGACTTTCAGGACTACAAACAAGGAGTCTGAGCCTGTGGAAACTGTCACCCAACTGAGTAAGTACTGTGGGAACTACAGTCTGGAAAGACTCCAGCCCGGGAAGGTCGGAACAGAACTAAGTACAGGCTAGCAAGTGCAGCACCACTGAGGGTTTGGACTGAGGCCTTGTGCTTGGCTGTTTGGAATCACAGAATATTAAAAATCATGTCATGGGCTGGAGAGATGGTTCAGCAACTAAGGGCACTGGCTGTACTTGTAGAGGATGTAGGTTCGATTCCCAGCACTCACATGGCAGCTAATAACCATCCATAACTCCAGTTCCAGAGGAATCCAATGCCCTCTTCTGACCTCTGTGGGCATTGCATGACACAGGTGCACATACATGCAGGCAATACACCCATACACATAAAATAAAAATAATGGAGAATATGTTTAAAAAACCCATGTCATAGATTGATGCATGAAGAAATGTTAAAACAGAAAACAGTCTAAAGAGGGCTTTGGAAACTAAAAAAAACAAGGAAACAAAAACAAAGCCAATGTGTTCTCAGCATAGTTTTCAGGGTTTTGGAGATGTGAACCTGTGTAGGTAAGCTGACTAAGTGGCTGGCACATTATTTTGTCACTGCTTCTGTATGATTCCAGTTTTACTCCATGCTTTTGGTAATTAATCTCTTCCCATACAAATAACTGTAAAACTTACGAGTCTATAAATAGCGCAAAGTCTGGGCATGAAGGATGATGCAAGGTGGCAGTTCTGGAGGAAGACCCACTGCTGCTTTTTGTTCAGCGCCTTAAAAATGAGGTCTTCTGCTTTGGATGCCTGGCCTTGGCCCAAGGAAATCATGGTCACCTGTTGTGATGTTCCTTTTAACTCTTGTGCAAATCTAATGAGAATATTGGTGAGGTCGATGCCTGGAGAGCATAGAGAGGTATGTTACACTGGAAGCTCCGGTAACTCCTTTAAATACAACCCCACCTTTCTTGAGGGGGTAGTAAGAGAGGATACATAGCCATGGTGGGCTGACTGCAGTTTTGTCTCTTGGAGTACAGGTGTGTGCTGGCACTCTCAGTTTATTCAGCGCTGAGGCTTGAACCCCTCCCCTGGGTAGGCTAGTGAAGACTCTACAAACTGAGCTATATCCCAAGGCTCCTTCTCCACATTTGATTGACAGTACACTGTGGCTGCATCAGTCACAGACAACTTACCATATGAGTGAATAAGGATCAGCGGAGTTTGGGCAGTAGATTCTTTGTAGGACTCTTTCAGATTAACTGTAGTTTTGTGAATATATTCACGCCCCATTTTTTCAATTATAAACTTTCTCACTGAATTCTTTAAACGTTCTGGCCTAAGAATTTTAATCTGAAAAATAAAACAGAAAATAAGGTAAATAAGTAAAAAAAAAAAAATCAGGGGAATATTCCCATTGGTAAAAATGAAATCAGAATCAGAAGAATTTTGGCTCATCCAGAGTTTCCTGGTGTCCTGCTGGGGAGACTTAGCAAGACAGGGTCTCCTAACCCTTGGTAGGCTTTCCTGACTCCCAGCTACCTTGGACCTCTATGTAGCAATTCCATACTCAGTGAGAGAGCTTGCTTTAGATGCACAGGTCCACGTGGTGCTGTCTGATGCTCCAATAGGAGACCTTTCTTAGGTGTTTTCTACTCTGCTGTGCACATCTAGAGCAAAAAGACCCTAGGTGTTTGGGGGTATGAAAATCCAGGAGTAACCCATTCGGAAGAGGACTCAACCTTCTGTTTGTAAGACAACATATGGATAACACAGTCTGTAAGTTTAAGCTGACAGAATGCATGCCTGAAAAGAACTGTGGGTGGATGAAATACTCTGGGAAGCAGAACATGTATAGGAACATAGGGCCTATTGGAATTTACTGTAGATTTCAGAGGCAAGACCTTTTCCATGATAAGTAGTTTATATACAACCATTCGTGCGCTATATATTTACAGAATGAACATGAAATATGTTCTGTGAAATTTTAATGTCTCTGGCATGGCAGAAAAACTGAAATTTATTTTATGTCTGAGAATGAACTACACTGAACCATGGGAAGTTGCTATTTTCTAAAGTCAAAAATTGCCAAATACATCCACCCCCAACGACATGCTTCCAGCATGACCACACCTTCTAAGACCTCCCAAAATACCACCACCAACTGGGGACAAAAATGTTTGATACTTGGAGGCTATGGGAGACATCCTCATTCAAACCACCATAGTATCTAATAGCATGATCAATAAAATTATTCTACATATGAAAAATTGCCAAATACTGAAAATTCATGTTTAATGTGATAAATTTATTATGTAGAATTCTGTTCTTTCCTGTTACTTTTTAGAAAAATTAAACTTAACTATACTTAAGGTTTTTATTTTCACTAAATGCTTTTTTTTTTTTTTTTTTGTCTTTTTGAGATAGGGTCTCCCTGTAGCCCAAGCTGGTCTGGAACTCAATAGGTAGACTAGGCCCCTTGAACTCACAGCGATCTGCCTGCCTCTGCCTCCTGCGTGCTGGGATTAAAGGCATGCACCACCATGCCAGGCTCATACCATATGTTTTTAAAAACTTAAGGAATCTGGGCTCTAACATCAGAACTCACAGTATATCAATCAGTGAGACAGTGTTAGAATCAATCAAATGAACAATGATCAGGCGTGGTTTCCTGACAGCCTCCCTCCTAAGAGCCCAGGCCTCCCAAGGTGTCCTTTGTCCCTCTTCTTTACCATCAGTCAAGCATCTGTGTAAGTTTAACCTCAAGGACTTTTCAGGGGGATGGGGGAGGACGGGGACACGGGACACACATGATACACGACAGAAGACACAAGAGTTCACTGAATTCAATTTCAGTAGCTCTATTTCAAGCAGCCACACATAGTTCTGGAAATTTGCAAGTGCCTCTATTTTGTCATCATTCCCCCTCTTTTCTGTCTACTGACCATATGACTGAAACCTCTGAAAATGAGTCCAAATAGGCCTCATACACTGACTATCTTAGGTATTTTGTCACCTTAACAAACCTGACTAATATATACCTAATCCCATCTCTAATCTTCCAAAGCACCCCTCCCCCCACTCAGTCCCCAGCCAGATTCTGAAGCTAATGAGAGCCTTGGAAAATACCACCTTTGTAAGTGCCACATGGTGGATGTGATTTAGCTGTGAGTCAACAATGTGCTTGTTGACACTGAACCCTGGAATCAGACATATTACCTGTCATGGGCAGGCTGGGCAGCCACTGCCTCCACTCTCCCGAGGGAGGAACAGGGATCTGTTCCTGTGTAACAGCGTGGAGAGTGGAGCAGAAGCAGGCAGGGCAGATCCTAAACCAAGCTGGAGAGAAGGGTGCTGCCCTGTGCTCGCTGTTCATCTCTCAAGGTTTCGTCCTGTCTATAGAGGATGAATGAGGGCAAAGCCACCACATGAAAAGACAGCAGGCTGATGCAGACGTGCCTCCCTCTGTACTGATGTTCAGGAAATCTCGGTTTTCAGAAATTAATGTGTTTTGCTTATAAAATTTTAATTCTGAAGAGTTTAAATCATTAATAGCTTATTTGAAGCATTTAGAATCTTAATGTTTTTCTCAGCACATCTTACCAAAATAAGTCTTTGAAATGGAGTGAGTTTCTCCCAAGGAAAATTTATAGGATTGCACATTTCATCATTTTCATTCAGGAGTTCAGCTAATACTGTTGAGAGAAAGAAACGGAAATTAACAGTTCATATTGCTCAAATAGGTTATGGTACAAATCGATGCCATAAATTATGAAATGTTTAACATGTCTAGCTAATTGAGTATTATTTTCATAGGATTTGTGGGGTCATTAACTATCCTTCATATCTCAGAAGACTTAGGCTAACTGCAGTGGATGGATGAATAGGGATCTAACAGGCACAACAGCGAAGGGGAAAGTGAGAAGGGGCGGCCAGCCCTTCGCAACCTGCTTTTTCAAATGAAATTTCAATGTCCAGATGAGAGATTTTTATTCACAACCACCTGAACAGATATAGGAAATGAGAACCCACAGAAAATCACATAGGATTATATAATTTTTCAAAACTTAAATATTGTATATTTTTTCATACTGACTTCTCTTGCATGGCAGTGCAGCCTTGCTTAGCTGGGAAGCCCTCCAGCCCTCATTCCCAGCCATCCCTCGTATGGTTATTATTTTCACTTACGTGTTTCTCTGCCCTTTTCCCAGTGTCTGACTTTACACACAACTTGGATTGTAAAAAAAAACTTTCTTGAATGTGCTAATATTGGTGTATTGGGTTTAAAAAGCCCATGGTACATGTAAGTCTAGTCACAAACGGTTAAGTTTGGAGTTATTTGCACAATAAAATGATCCTCACTTTACAGAAAGAGTTAACAAAGAGCTCTTTTAAATAAAATATTGACTTTACATTAAAATAACTTAGGGATCATAGATGGATTAGTGACAAATACAGCAAAATAAAACAACCACGATCCAGGGAGAAAGCTGTATGGGAGACAGGAGGCTCTCCATCAGAACTGGACGTCAAGACGGCATGAAAATAGACATAACTGACCGTATAAGCATTTCAATATTTGCATAGTACCGATACTGTAAACAAATCCAATAAACAATGAGCAGATGCAGAAAAACGTTTATACAAAACTGAATTATCTTCAGCATTAATAGGATTCTTAGGAACATTCAAAAAAGAGAAAAGCGATTCAGTAGAAAATAGGTAAAGTGTATGAACAAGTAATCCAATCAGCTGATGGACATTAAAAATGCTTTAACTTGCTAATATGAAAATTAAAATCAAAGTATTTTAAACATTTCAGATTGGTATAACTTATTTTTATTTTATGTATATGATGTTATACCTGCATGTATGTAAGTACACCCATGTTTTACAGTGCTTGTGGAGGACAGAAGAGGGTGTCGGAGCCCTTGGAACTGGAGTTAAAACAACTCGTGTAATTTTGTGGGTGATGGGATTCAAACCTGGTCTTCTATAAGAACAGCCAGTGCTTTTAACTGCTAAACCATCTCTCCAGCTCCCAAACTGGTATAGCTTATACAAAATCAATACTTCCATTAGAAAATGGGTATGCATACTGCTGGTGAAAAAATATCATTTAGAATTTTTAAAAATATTTATTTTTATTTTATGTTTATGAGTGTTTCGTCTGCATGTTTATAAGTACACTCGCGCCATGCAATGCCCATGGAGGTCAGAAGAAGGAGTCAGATCCCATGGAACTGGAGTTACAGATGATTGTTAGCCACCATGTGGGTCCTGGGAACTGAACAAGGGTGTTCTGGAAGAGTAGCCAATGTTCTGAGCCATCTCTCCAGACCCCACAGTGCCACTTTTGTGTGATTCTGTGTAAATATGGCCCTGAGGTCAGAGGCCTTCATCTTCACCTGCCTGTCAGTGTGCCCATCTGTAGACCACATGCCTACTTCCCTATGGCCTGTGTGTCCTTGTGTGCCTGGTCAGATCCCCTGGAACTGGAGTTACAGATGATTGTTAGCCACCATGTGGGTCCTGGGCACTGAACCCCGGTCTTCTGCAAGAGCAGCTAGTGCTATTAATTGCTGGGCCAACTCTCCAGCCTCATTTAGACTTTTAAAGAAATTGACCTGGTAGCAAGATTTGCTTTCGACCAGTAATTCTACTTCTAAAATTCTGTTTCTTACAGCGATAGAAACAGAGGGTGTTTATGCTGTTGCACAACATAATTGTTATAGCAAGAATCTGGAATTTAAAAATGGAGAAAAATGTGTGGGAAACAAACTTGGTTGTGTCCCATGTGGGGATATCACAGTGAAAGTGCCAGGGGAAACGGGAGAGAGACAAAGTGGGAAACAAAAAACATAAAATAGCAAGTCTCTTAAAGTATAATCCAGGGCTGGAGAGATGACTCGGTCATTAAGAGCAGTGGCTGCTCTTGAAGAGGACCGAGGTTCAGTTCCTAGTACCTATATGGTGGCTAACAACTGTCTGTAACTCCAGTGCCAGGGGATACAATGTTCTCTTCTGGTCTCCATGGGTACCGCACACATGGGTGCATTTACATGATGCAGGCATAATCTGTTTCATGTGTAATTTTAGCAGGTTTTTTTTTCATGGTTACAATTTTCTTTCTGTGGTCCTCAGGATTGAAAACCAGGGTCCTCGATATGTTAGGCAAGTGCTCTGCCACTGAGCCATAGGCCTAACTCACGTGTAATTTTGTTTTTAAAGATTTGTCTGGGGGGCTGGAGAGATGGCTCAGCAGTTAAGAACACTGGTTGTTCTTGCAGAAGATTCGGGTCTGAATCCCAGCACCCACATGGCAGCTAACAACTGTCCATAACTCCAGTCTCAGGGGATCCAACAGCCTCTTCTGTCCTCCGTGGGCATTGCACAACACGGGTGCACTTACCTACATGCGGGCAAAACATGCATACACATAAAATAAAAATAATAAAATATTAAAAAATAAATTAAGAAAAAGATTTGTCTGGGGTTGGAGAGATGGCTTAGTGGTTAAGAGCTCTGGCTGCTATTGCAGAGAACCTGGGCTGGGTTCCCAGCACCCACAAGGTGGTTCACAACCATCTATAACTCCATTTCTGGGGGTTCTGATGCCGTCTTCTGCTTTCCATGGGCACCAGGCATGCACATGGTGCACACATACAGACAAAACACACATGCACACATGGGTACCAGGCATGCACATGGTGCACACATACAGACAAAACACACATGCACACATGGGTACCAGGCATGCACATGGTGCACACATACAGACAAAACACACATGCACACATGGGTACCAGGCATGCACATGGTGCACACATACAGACAAAACACGCATGCACACATGGGCATCAGGCATGCACATGGTGCACACATGCAGGCAAAACACTCATATACAAACAATAAAAATAAATAATAAACAATAGAAATAAATCTTAAAAAAAGATTTATGGGGGTTGGAGAGATGGTTCAGCAGTTAAGAGCACTGGCCGTTCTTCCAGAGCACCGGGCTTTGGTTCACAGCACCCACATGGTGGCTAGATCTGATGCCCTCTTCTGACCTCTGTGGGCATTATATGACGTACATGCAGGCAATACACTCATTCATACACATAAAAAAAACTGATTAAAATAACTTATTTATGGCTGGGTGTGGTGGTATATGCTTTCAATCTCAGCACTCGGGGGCAGAAGCAGATCTCTGCAAGTTCAAGTTCAGCCTAGTCTACATAGTGAGTTACAGGTCAGCCAGGGCTACATAATGAGACCCTGTCTCAAAAAATTATTTTTTTTAATTGTGTGTGTGTATGTGTGTGTGTATGTGCACATGAGTGCAGGTGTCCACGGAGACCACAGGTTTCATATCCCCCTGGAGCTGGAGTTATAGGCAGCTGTGAATCGCCTCACGTGAGTACTGAGACTCAAATTTGGATTCTCTGCAAGAGCAGTAGGTATCTCTTCAGCTTCTCATGATTTTCAAGGGCACATACTTGCTATATAAAATGAGGACTCTATATAGGCTTATTTAGATTCAAGGTTTAAAGCCAGTAGTGTGTGATAATGTGATATACTTAATGTGTCAAAAATTCAAAGAGCTTCATAAAAATCATTTCCTAAGATTATTATGAGGGTTACATTGAATAAAGAGTGTATATGTAGAACACAGTGATGGTCCTCACTTCAATTTGTGATGAGCTACCAGCCCCACTGATAAACTGAAAATCTACATATGCATGCATGCATACTAAGGGTAGGTCAAGGTACGAATGGCTTCTTACCTTCCTCAGGTGATCTCCAACTTCTCTTCTGTAAGACATCTTCTGAAGAGAAAGGCGTGCCTATCAGAGAGTACACAGTCTTGCTGTTCCTGAAAGCATTCCATTGCGGTATATTTGTCAACAGTGATTTGCAGAGCAGGGAAAACGGTTCCAGCTGACTGCTGATGTACTGACACTGCTTCCACCTGAAGTCAGGCAGCCACTGAAGGTGTTCCTTTTTACGTATTCCAAATATACCTAATAGAAAAGGGAAACGACTAAGGATACATCCTTTACCTTTCCTCATTACAAAGTAGATGACAAACAAGTATTTGTTGTCAAGGAAAGAACAACTTGATGAAAAGGGGCTGGGGATGTAGTTCAATAGCAGAATGCTTGTCTAGCACACATGAGACCCTGAGCTCTATTCCTAGCATCACGATAAGTAAACAAGACAGACACTAACTAGGTAGGTTAATTACTTTCTTTTTTTTTTTTTTGATATTTTTGAGGCAGGGTCTCCCTATACCCCCAGCTGGACTGGAACTCACTATGTAGACCAGGCTGGCCTCAAACTTACAGTGATCCACCTGCCTCTGCCTCCTGAGCACTGGGACTAAAGGTGTGTGACACCACTCCCGACAGGTTAATTACTTTTTGTGATGGCAAATACAATATAATAAAATTTATCATTTTAATTATCATCAGTGCAGAGTTCAGTGGTGTTAAGTATATCAACATGATAAAACAGATCTCCAGGGCTTTTTCTACATCCATTACACAATTCGCCTCCCTTCTGCCTCTTCCAGTTCCTGGTGGTCAACATTCTACTTTGTGTCTGTGAATTGCCTTCCTTAGATACCTCATCGGAGTGGTATTTGTCTTTTCGTGACTGTCTTCATTTCATTGAACAAATGTCCTTAAGGTTCAACCATGTTGTAGTATGTAATAGAATTTCCTTTCTTTTAAAGACTGAATAACATTCCAGTATATATTTATGCCAAATTTTATTTATCTCTCATTCATTGGCAGACATTGGGTTTGTATCCACCCAATGGCTACTTAGGTAGTATTGCTATGAATATAGGTGTGCAAATATGTCTTCCAGATTCTGCTACAATCTTTAGAATATACACTTGGAGTGTGACTGTTACATCATTTAATAGTTCTATTTTTAATTTTTTGAGGAAATGTCATTCTGTGTTTCACAGTGGTTGTACCATTTTACAATTCCACCAGGAGTACATTAAAGTTAAATCACAGCCAAGTTGAGAGTTTTGGTTTGGATATAAAGTGTTCTCTCAGGCATATGTGTTTCAACACTTGGTTCCCAGCTAGTAGCTCTTTTTAAGGATGTTGTGGAACCGTTGTAATTACCTACCTAGCAGAAGTAGGTTGCTGGGGTGGGCCTTAAAGGTGATAATCTGTTTCTGGTTCCAGCCTAAGCTTTCTGTTTCCCAATCCACCAGGGTGTGAACAGGCTGAGTTTCAAGCTCCTGCTGCCATCCCCAGACTGCTATCCCCTCAAATTGTGAGCCCAAATATTTCCTTCCTTTCTTTTTGTTTGTTTGTTTCCTTTGGATATTCTGTCACAGTGACAAAAAATAACTAATACTAATGTCATGAAACATTTTCCTTTGTTTCTTGCTAGGAACTGAAAAAAAAGTTTTGTGTGTGCATATGCATGCACGTGCACATATGTGTACGTGTTGTTACGTGTATGGTCTACATATGTCTTAGTGTGGATATGTTCATGAGTACATGTGGATGTGTGTGCATATGTATGAACGTGTGCATGTGGAGGTCAGAAATTGATGGCTGGTGTCTTTCCATCATTTCCTACCCTTGGTTTTTGAAACAGGGCCTCTCTGTGACCCTGAAGCTTACGAATTCTGTTCAACTGGTAACCCCAGCTCTAGGGGATCTGACAGCCTCCTTCTCAGTGGCACTGGAGTTACAAGTACACACCACTGTGCCCAGCTTTTTACCTGGGTTCTGGGACTTTGAACTCAGGTCCTCATGCTTGCACAGCAGGCACATTTTTGAGTCATCTCCCTAGCCCTCTGATAGGTTTATGGTTTTAGGACATCTAAATCTTTACACTATTCAAACTTAATGGGCGTATTGGTACAAATAAGGGTCCATCTTGATTCTTTTACATTTATGTATCCAGTTTTCCTAACAGTTGTTGAGAAGACTGTCCTATCATTATTAAGTAGTTATGGAACACTTATTATTTGAGCATAGATATGATGGTTGACCAGGTGTGATGGTGCACACCTTTAATCCCAGCACTTAGGAGGCAGAGTCAAGAGGATCTCTGTGAGTTCATGGTCAGCCTGGACTACATAGCGAGTTCCAGGCCAGCCAGGCCTACAGTGAAAAGTTTGTTCACATCTCCCCAGGAATAGTGTCAGACAACAATAATTGTTCCTAATTGTCTTATATCTGTTTATATTTCTGTAGTCTAGTATCCATCCATCCATCCACCTATCTATCATCTATCTACCACCATCCATCCATTTATCCATCCATCTGCCTGCCTATCATCTATCTATCTATCTATCTATCTATCTATCAATCTATCTATCTATCTATCTATCTATCTATCTATCATCTGTCTATCTATCTATCATCTATCTATCAATCAATCAATCTATCTATCTAATCATCATTTATCTATCCATCCATCCTTCTGCCTATCTATCATCTATCCATCGATCGATTGATCCATCCATCCATTCATCCATCCATCCATCCATCCATCCATCTTCTCTCCCTATTCATCTATCCATTTATCTACCTACCTATCCATCCAGCTATCTTTAATCCAGTTTTGTGGGTTTTTTTTTGAGACAGAGTCTCACTATGTAGCCCAGGCTTACCTTGAATTCATGATCTTCCTACCTCATCCTACCAAACTGCTGGGATTATAGGCATGTGCCACTAAGTCTGGCCTGTGGAACACGTTTTAATACCTTTTCTCTCATTCCTCATTTTAGTAATTTGTGTCATCTCTCTTTTTTCTTAGTTGAGTTAGAAGTTTGTAATTTTTAAAAAACACTAACTCATAGTTTTACTGCCATTTCCTATTATGTCTTCTGTATTCTCTTTTTTTTTTTTTTTTTTTTTTGGTATTTTTGAGACAGGGTCTCCCTGTAGCCCCAGCTGGATTGGAACTTGCTATGTAGACCAGGCTGGCCTCAAACTCACAGAGATCTACCTGCCTCTGCCTCCCAAGTACTGAGATTAAAGGTGTGCACCACCACACCTGGCTATCTTATTTTTATTCAATATTTTTATTTTTTAAAACTTTATCATCTGTGTGTATGCATGTGCATGCACATGTGGATGTCAGAGGACAACCTTCAGGAGTTGGGTCTGCATGTGGATTCTGGGGCTCAAACTCAGATCATCAGACTTGGCAGCAAGTGCTTTTATAATGTGAGCCATCTTGCTGGCTTCCCATGTAATCCTTATCATTTCTTTCCTTCTGTTAGTTTTGCATTTAGTTTGTTCTTTTTATGGTTCCTTGAGGTGGGAATTTATCTTGTTGATTTGAGACCTTTCTTTTTTGATACATTCATAACTGTATAAATTTTCCTCTTAGCATTGTTTCTGCTACACCATGAAAGTTTTGATATATATATTTTTAATTTTTTTGTTTTATGTGTATGCGTGTATTGCCTGCATGTAGGTAAGTGCACCCATGTTGTGCAATGCCCACGGAGGTCAGAAGAGGCTGTCAGATCTCCTGGGACTGGCGTTACGGACAGTTGTTAGCTAACATGTGGGTTCTGGGATTCAAACCCAGGTTTTCTGCAAGAACAACAAGTGTTCTTAACCACTGAGCCATCTCTCCAGCCCCCATATATATATTTAAATAATTTATTGAAAATTTCATACATGCATATAAGGTGTTTTGATCAAATCCATGCCCACTCCCTCTTCTCCAATTCCTCCCATATCCCCCCATCACTTTTTTTCTGATAACTTCATGTACTCTTTCTTCGTCTTTGATTTATTTATTTTTATGGGGCTTTTGGCTACTCTAACATTGCCCCCCACCAAGAGGAGGCAAACCTAAAATCTTTTAAGGATTAGATAAAAGATCCCAAATATTTTCAGTATTTTTGGCCTTTGGAATGGAGTAGGTTGCTAAGAGGCCCAAAGACATTGTGAGTTTTAGCCAAATAACTGGCTACTTTTATTTGGGGTCTTTTTACCTTAACTGCCTAGCCAATTCCTACCTCCTATTCTTATCACACCATCCTCTGAAGAGGTTACCCAAATTGCCAATAGGGAATCGGGACACAGACCGCTCTGACTTCTTCCATGCTGAACAGGGATGATATTTTTGTCTTCATTTGTTTATAAGTATTTACCATTTTCCTCTGGGATTTCTTTTTGATTTCTTGCTTATTTAAGAGTATGGTTTAATTTCTCATGTTTGAAGATTTTCCAGTTTTCTTTCTGTTACTGATTCCTGGAGCTTGGAAAACATTCTTAGTATGGTTTCTTCTTGAATTTGTTAAAACTTGTGTTATGGTATAACATTTGTGTAGCAAGGAAAGTGTTTATATGCACATGGGAACAATGTACATTTTGCTGTTACTGGGCAGACTGCTCTAAGTCTGTCTGGCTTACTGTGCTGTTCAAGTCCTCTATTCACTTAGTAAGTTTTTGTCTGATTGTCTGTTACTGAAAGTGAGCTATTGAGGTCTCCTACTACATCATGTGACTCACTATTTTCCCTTAAATTCTATTAAAGTTTACCTCATCTATTTGGGAGCTCAGAAGTTTGGTGTGGACATTTATTACTATTGGATCTTCTTGACAAGTTAACATTTTTCTTGTCATATAAAGATGTCTTGTAAAAGTTTGAAAAATCCATTAGCTAATCCATGTCTTTTTAATAGGGATTTAAATCTATTTCCATTTAAAGTTTGATTTTTTGGATGCATGCTGCTATTCTGTTGATTGTTTTCATGTTTGTAACTATCTTCACCCTCCTTCATCTTTTATTGCCTTTTAGATATTTTGTTGCTTTTTTTTCTTGTAGTGATGTTTTGATTCTTTTGTTTTCTTTTGTGTATATGCTACAGACATTTTCTTTGTGGTTTCTAAAGCATAAAATACATTAATTTTGTGGTGTATTAGTCACTTTTCTGTTGCTGTGATAGAAACACTGTCCAAAGCAACTTATAGAAAGGAAGAGTTTATTTGAGCTTACAGTTCCAGTCTGTCACGGCAGGGAG